ATATATATATATATATATATATATATATATATATTCCAATAAACGAAAATACTAATAAATAAAACAACCTGAAGCCTACTTTTCTATAAATAATGATAAGAATACGCACCAACATGATAAAAAGTAAGCCAGCTATAGACAAATGAACATAATGTCTCGACAAATTCAAACTTCATTCTTTCTTGAACCGCTTGTATGGCTGTCACGTAATCTAACGAGCAATTGCAAAAATTTCGCTGCTGCATATCCAGCTGAGCATCTGCCTCTTTGAAATCATTTTTCCGTGCCTTTTAAATAGCCCTTTTAGAGAATTCAAAATCATTGACATCCTAACTAAAAACATTACGCCACATACGTCCAAGTCACTCTGACATCACGAAAAAATATTATTGAGTGTTCTAACCTTCTTACTCTGGTTTTATTATAGCTCAATCCTTCAAAAGTTTTATTATTCAATTCCATCAAAAAATAATTTTTTTCAGTAAAAATAAGCTTTGAATGATGTATCAACAGCTAATGGCACTTTTTGGCGACAAAATAAACTATGGCACTCATAACGAACTGGATTTAGAAAAATTCTCACCGTTGATAAATGTAAATGTTTTTCGAGCGAAGCATAAAACTTGTTGGATTCTTTTTCGTATCTTTTTTTGTCATCATGCAGTACCTATGAACAACATATTTCTTATTACTTATGCAACAATATGTCTCGTTTTAATAAAATGGAGCAGAAAATTCAAAAATGGCAAGGTTTGGAAAAAATATCAGATATTTTTCCACATTGTAGAAGCTTACAACAACAACATTTACTGTGCAAAATTAAAATTTACTTTCCCAATTCCATCAACTCGGAACTTCCTTAATGGCTCGATAAAATGAGTCTCTGAATCTTCAATAATCTTTTCGCGATGATCCTCAATCTGATTCACGAAATCACCAAATTTACTCAAGCATTCAGCTACAAATTTTAACCAAATAATAAATCTTGGCAACACTGTCCTATTTATTCATCATGCAAAAAATGCTTTTCACATAAAATAAACAGTACAAAGTTCTGAAAGGCAGTTCACTTATTTCTGTAGAGAGGTTAGTCGTTATTATGGTGGTAATGTAAATGTGTTATACTGTATTATAGTAAAATTTCTAATGTAGATGTTGCTATGCTCATTAAAAATTTGAATTTAATGAGTATCAAAGATGTCGAATGATGAATATATTTGAAAACAAAAACCTATTTTTTGTTCATCATCCGTTTGTGTGCTACCAATCGTGACAAACTTAAATTCTTTCAGCGATTTCGCAAATGCTCGTTGCGCAATTGAAAGTTCTACAAATTACACAATATATTATTTTTAAGCACGTTAAATTGTGCATAATATTTGTGCATAATTTGAAAATTTATAAACCATTTGCCAGCTAGTGAATTAAATGCCTCTTAAAACTTGATGCACGCAACTGGAAGTGAAGGAGTACTGAAATCCTAATATCCTAATATTCAACCACATCAAAAGCATTTAATCATCTGAAATCTCCAGATTTACCTTATTCAAACGGAAGCAGTCAATAAAAAGGAATTTACTTAAGTTATTCTCACATATATCGAATTAGTTTCTAGAAATAAATCACTCATAAATTGCGAGCAGAAAAATATGTACTAAAACTTGAAAATAGATGAAACTAGTCTGTTCAGACATAGATCAACTTCATTTAAAATATACGAAATATGGAAAAGAGGCTAGAATGCAAATGAGAACAAGGGAATACTTACTTCTAGTACACTGGATGAGTTCGCGACACTGTATTTCAATATTTTTGATAGTTTTATGTGCATCTTCCAAAACGCTTTCATGTTCATGCAAATTTTGTCGAAACCAAGGGCTATCCGAGAGGCAATCAGCAAATTCTAATGGTCGCAAAACCATAGTATTTTTGTAGTAATTAAAATTACAATACTATCTATATCAGTCGTATCAAGAAAATCAGGTAGCTTTTCAATCATTCCACTGAATCATTTCGACTACGACTTAGATATGAACAAAGATATCAAAGATATGAATGAATTTTGTTCCAATAAATCTTACAGCAACACAGTCCTGAAATCTAGTAGAAGAAATAATCATAATAAGTATGAAAATTTATTGGGAATAAATTAAGCATATAATTCCGTATAAAAGTATTAGTGAACGCAAGAGACATGAGAGCAGAATTTTTTAGCGCACGTGAACACAGTAAGCTTAAAAACAAAATGGGGAAATATCTTTGGATGAATCAACTAGTGTGTTTTACTACGAAGAATGCAGTAAGAAAAAAGTCACCGATAACAATCTAAAGCAAGACAGTTACCAACAATAACAAATTCTAATAATACTCGATCAGTCAGTCAATGCCATCTCACACTCTTGCACCTGGGACCAAGCATTTGCATAATGTTATTTAATCCAAAGGTGCAACGACTAACCATCTAGTAGCGAAAATTTATTTTAAATCAGATTATTGGAAATTCTAGAACACTGTACTTTGAGGTGTGGTTAGCTAAGGGTTTCGGGTAATTGGTGGAGAGTGCGCGAAAAACTGTGATTAAGTGAAGGAAGTATGTAGAAGGAATCTAAAAGCATTGTTTATTTTTATTTCCAGCATAATATGGTGGAGGGTGGATTATGCTGACAGGTTATTGCTTTCATTCAGAATACTGGTTAGTTCCGTGTACTGATGTAGGCAATGGGCTACTTGTTGTCTGATATAATCCCGATGAGTCGGAGTCATCACACAAATCAAAAGGGCTGGCCAGTGATTCGATTGCTTATTAGCAGTGCTCTATAATGATTTTAAATATACAATGTTACATCACGACTATACTAAAAGACACCCTACGATGCATCCACTTGGGACTCTGCAAGAAGTGTGGTCTGAAAGCATTCCTGCGCTTGCGAAGTCATTCTGTTCAGAAGGTCGTCGCGAATGAGAATGTTGAGATCAAAGTCGATACGCGAGTGAGGACTGCGATCAGAATATAAGCGGGTCGGCCAGATATCATGATCCACGATAAGAAGCGACGTCAAGTGAATCCTGATTGAGGCTGACATCACCAGCTAGCACGATTAACTGCAGTGAAGACCAATAAAAGGCGAATGTATGACATCCTGGCTAATAAATCTGGGACAGAGATGAAATGAAGGACCAAAATAATTCCGTATGTGATGACTTGGAATGGGACTGTAACGACCTTCCACAAACACTATGCGACGAAGGAAATCAGTATATCTGTTCACGTTAAGACATGCATCCAATCAATAGTTCTCAAGAAAACGCTCGAAAGCATTTCCTTCAACAGTCAATATGGATTGCACGAGGACGAATCGAAAACAATTAGCACAACAAATCTGAGCGCGGGACAAGTTTATCCAGAATGTATATATATGTATTAAGATTATACGTTCGAGTTAAATGCCTGGACGTATTAACCAGTTTTGTTTAGATCTTTAAGATTTTTAGCTTGCAAAATTGACTCAAGTTAACGTGTATCACTATTCAAGTTCAGTTTTCTGCCAAGGAATGACGTCGTCAACTGCCCAATTCATGGAAAAATTAAAGAGAAATTTACTGCCTAATACACGATAGGAGTGACGTAAACGAAGTGATATTGGTTTCGTAGACATAGAGAGAAAAGAATGAAATATGAAACGAATATCTGAAAACTGGATGTCATCATACACTTTCATTCTTTCATTCGTTAACCAACTACTTTTCAAATAATACTATGTCATATTCATCTTAAAGTGAAATTCTGAATGTAATCTATAGGTATATGTAAATCGGTTTATTACCAAGTATGATAGCAAACAATGTCAGCAATGCAAAGCGTTGCAAAGACTAATCAATGTATTTGAATCTGATATCCCAGTAGAAATGCCTGCCTAAATAAGTTTTAGCAGGAAATGTGAACAATTCAAAGCAGGAGAATGGTACTTGTATGTATATAAAAAAGACTTTCTACTGCCTTTTACTTACAAGTAAATGCAGAAAAGGGAATGAGGCTAATTACATGGCTAGTACTTTTGAAATGAATTATAAAAAATCGACTTTTGAAGTTCCCAGTCAAAAGAGTAGCTGAGCAACGAAGTTATTTGATGACAATACGCTGAAATGACGGCTAAAGTGGGACAAATTTCTGAAGTTACGATCCTAAGAAGCAGTGAAAGTAAATCTCATTGGAATCCTTCGTTAAACAACACTGAAGATTGAAAAATTCCAGTTTCTTCAGATACCACTAATAATTAAATAATGCTAAAATGACTGCTTTTACGTACTCACTTTAGAAAGAAAGTTATAGTTTACAGGCACACGCAAACATGGTCAACCGGCTAATTTTCTGTTCTTCAGCTGCTACAAATTTTATCATCGAAGCCTCATCGTGACAGTTATCAATAAAATACAAGTTTAGATGGTAAGCAGTCAACTGACTTTGTTATCACTGCAGTTGATTTGACCATAAACAACTCTTTAAACTTATAAACAATCAAAAAATCAAAAGCGTTGAATAACTTCTGACTATCTAATTTCTTGACTTATATATTTGCCCGCGTCTGTCCATTTACACCGAAATCAGTCACACCGTGAGTGGCAGTCAAATAATTTATCAATCAATTTTAGTATGACATTACTCACTAGCACAGTAATATTTGTAATCGTTTACACATCATGCATTCAAATGCTACCTTACAAGTGTTCATTCACTGAGCAGGCCCACGCTTACACTTAAGAACACGTCCATGCATGCACATATTCGCTACCGCAGACAATGTACACCGTTTAGCAAACGAAAATGTAATGTTATCTGCTGTGAAATCTTGTATGAAGTCATATTTACATAATAACGATGTATATTAACAGACATATAATAAAAGAAATGTAAGGGTACTTGGTAAAACTAAACTGACACTTTTATTTTTCACAAACAAATAGAGCATTTTGTTAGATATGTCTGAAAACATGCCAACATTATAGTCGCAAAATCAGTCATCGATTCTGAATGGGTGAAAGTGCTTGAATGAAGTGCATAGCATACTTTTGGTAGAATTCAATCTTGAAACTAGTGTATTCTCTGAAATCAAATGAAACTTTTATAATGAAGGAAGCAAAGCAGGAAAGATTAAGAAGTTTTGTTTCATAAGGATAGTTGATTATGTGATGGAATTAAACTTTCTGGGTTAAGTTAACTTGGATTAAAGTTTCTTTTTATGTGATTCTTTGTCATGCTTAATAAAACCATGACAAATAATAGAATTGATAGGAACAGGTAGTGATTTGAAACTTCTGCTTCACCAAAAATCTTAATTCTTGTCGAGTAAAACAAATTAAGAATTAAGACTGCCAAATTGCTAAAACATAGAGTTAGTTCTCTGTAAGCACTAAAATAAATATCATGAAAGTAGTCAGAAAACATTAATTTGTGATAGAGAGGTTACAATCGTTTACTTGATGAAAAAATAGTTGCGGAAGATTGTTTTGCAAAGTAAGCCTGAAGAAAAAGCTAGACCCCACGCAAAATAAAACTACAAAACTTTTTAAGCGCTTATTTCGAATGCTTCGCAAAATTTTGAATCTTAAATGCCATAAACTGTTTGATAGTAATAGAGGTCTTAGCAGAGCAAATAGACTTAATCATGCGCACGCAGAGAAATGAATAAAAATTGTGGTTCCAAAGAGAATGAAAGAAGCTTTCCCAGTTGTTTTTGAAGCTAATATAGCTTTCTTTGGTCTTAGATTTGGTTTGGCTAGCTTAGAATGTAATTACATAGTTGCCAGCTTTTTTTAATGCAATAAAGGCAAGTTTGAGGGGCGAAGAGAGTTGAGAAGATAGTAAAATTACATTCACATAAAATTCTTAAGTTATCATAACACTTTCAACTAAGGTGTAATAAGTAATATCTCCGTGTACGAAATCCATAATTGCTGCCAGCTATCAAAGTTATTATGTGACTAATTTATCGGAAATTTTCATTCATTCTCACCGCGATGCAATTACTTGTTGATGGATGGCAAATTATATCAATTTAATTTTAACTTCTCTTATGAAGTCGTGAGATTGTGAAGTTTTGGGCAAGCAAAAATTAAAAAACATTTTCTTTATGATTTGCCGCTATTAGAAGTCATGGAAATGGAAAACTAAACGGCAAAAATTTTGACTATTTGTGGAAAGCATTCTCAATCACATTTATTGTGTCCTTAAACTGCTCGGAACTACCGCAGTTCACTTTTCAATATTTTTTTTTGCGATTGAAAAGCATAGCAAAAAAAATTTAAGAGCTTAATTAATGGAAATGCTTAACATAAGTTACGCTTATGTAAATAAAATGATATAAAAATCATTCTTTAGGCAAATGCATCAATGTGAAAAGTCTTAACTTAGCTATGCTAGAAAATAAATTATCCATCATTTAATACAATTTAAGCAAATTCAAAAAATTTACTTTTTACAAGTTAAAAGAAACCAAATGCAACTTAAATGACACACATCAAATAAAAGCAATAAATATTAATGTGACGTTGAAATCATTCATAGCATGATTTGGTAATCATTAAACTGACAATTGCAACGATATTCTTTATAAAATTCAGCTCTTCTTCATTAACCACCACCTCCAACTTACTAATGTTGCTGAGAAATAATCAACTGTCTTATGAAGTAATTATTCATTGCATATCATCACTCCTTTATATTACAATTTCTTACTGAATCTATTCTTCTTATCGACAGTGGGTCATTTGCAAGGTCACTTTATTAGTGCACTGAAGAAATGACAAATTTGCTTAAATTGTTTGCTCAAAGATTATCTAGTAAAAGCTAACAAATTTAGCGAGAGAAAGTACGGAAAGATGATTCGTTGAAAAAGCATATATATGCAAACTCCTTTAGAACAACACTTTTTGAGCATAAAAATGTATGGAGCAATATCAGTCGCTCCAGATTATTAATAAAATTAAAAATGGTAGACTTGGGTCAGTAGCATGAATTAATTCACTAAGTTTGGATAGCTTCCGTAATTTAGCATATTAATAGCTTTAAAAAACTAATTCTTTCGACGCATCAGTAGCCAATGTGCAGATTGAAATATTTTGGTTTCCTTTTATATACTTATTGTTGACTTCAAAAATTCCAAGTTACTTTACTTAATAAACTACCAGATCTATTGAATGAGGTCTTCTTGTTGTTAGAGGAAAAATGTTCACCTTTAAATAATGCTATGCACACTTCACTAGAACGGACAGTGACCACAACAACAAATACTAGTTAACTTTTTCTATTTTATATGAAATACATACTCATTCTAGTATCTAAAACTCATATCTAGTATCTAAAACTCGAATTTCCTCATTATATATGATAGGAAAGTTTATTTTCTGAAACTATGAAATCAATAATAAAATCAAAGCACTAATAGCACATGGACCATACAGCATAGCCATTCAACATATACCAATCTTATTTTTCTGATAAAAAGAAAATTTATCACTCAAATAGTTTTGATAAACGATAATATTTTGTGACTGACTTCAGCTCGGAAGTTTTTTTCTTAATGTCTGAACTGACCCAAAACTTTGCAAGTGTTTTTCTACTATTATCTTATATTATTAGTAATCCATAGCATTTTTCACTAACAGCGAAATATTACGCCACAATTTTATTGGAACTCATAGCATTTCATTATCAGCAGCAGTATTGCGAAGCAAGTCAATCACATGATCGCAATCATCAACCCACAACCCTTGTAACACTTCCGAGTAGGGACAAGTCATTAGAGCAACTTATGTATCATACTTTGTTAAAGATGCCAAGTTCAAAAAAATTTAGGAATACAAAACAGCATAAAACTGTTTGCATTTGCAAAGCTTCAATGAGCTAAATTTTTGATACCACCAACCAACATTCGGCTTAGAAATAAATTGCATATTTTTGTCTAAATTTTATTATTAAACGGCATAACTTTCATATATTGACAAAGTTATAACATAATATGTTTGTATCAGTAAAATTTAGGGCGCATGCCTTTTCTGTTATATTTCATGTTTTGAATCCAAGAAATCAAGTGGATGGTAAAAAATTGTAAATTTTCAACAGTTTAGCCAAAGTTAAACTTTTTCAGCATCAAAACAGCATCAAAACCAAACAACTAAAGTAAAATAAAAAGAAAAAATGGATATCACTATTTGCTGCAAATAGAAGAAGGTACAGTCTAAAGTACTTTGTGAGGATCTTTTTCCGACTTTAGTTTGCTAACTTCAATAAACACACAGTGCTTGATTGGGATCAGATTTCACAGGAAGTTCAGAAGCAAGTTTTGGAAGTATTTATGAAGTTCACATGTGGGTCTACCTTACGCAGAAGTACTTAAAGCTAATGTATTTGCGTTAGTAGTACTATAATTAGAAAGTAATCAATTGCATAAGTAATGGACAGATTTATGGTTACCATATTCAAGCACTTGCAGACCACGTCTATATCAAATGTTATCATACAGTGAGAAAAACCAGTTTAAATGTTCGATAATTTTTCACGAAGTGTACAGATCTATCTCTCTCTTTCTGTACGGGAGTGGAATTTAGTTGTTCTATGGATATGTAAAGTTTCACAATTAAATGGATCAAGTAGTCTGCCATTTAATTTTGCTTATAAATAACATCAAATTTTTAACCTATTTATTGATTTTAACATTCGCGCTTTCAGGCAGATTTTCTTATTGGTAGTACTACTACTTAACTGCAAAATTTCGATAATAAGTTAATCAGAAAAGTGATATTTTGAGAATAACACGAAAATAATTATCTGCTGGCTTGCTAAGAAGTGACTGTTTTCAAATAACACGAAGTATCACTGCAGAAAAAACTGAACATCACTGGAATTTGCATGCAAAAAATCGGTGCCTTTGTTTCAAACTATTGTGTTGTGGAAGCACATACCTGCAAGAAAATTATTCGAATGACAGCTTTCAGCTAGCATTTGTGTAAAGTGCAGAACTACAAGTACAGTAAATGAAAATTCATATATTTCTTCACTGCAAATCATCAAAAGTAGTCAGAAAGGAATCAGATATCATTCCGCTCGATGAAAAATGTGAAAATAACAAGCACTGTATTCGTAAGGAAATCGTTTGTCACGTATCAGAAATCATTTCTGCTTTACTTGCTCTTCTTTTCACTATCATTATTCTTTCCAGTGCATACTCAACGCTCTTTAAATGTTTAATTTCTTTTTGATAAACTGCTCGTCTCTTCCATCAATTGCATACTTTTGGTTTTTCTCGCTCCCTTCAAAGTGACATCTCGATCTATCCACCTCTTTCAATCCATTTCAGAATGCTATCTTTGAAGAAATCAAAACGGAAATCAAGAAAGAATTTTAAGGCGTTAGCCGAACTTGCTTTTTTTTTTCATTTGCTCAATACCTATTCACTCTTCCACATTATCTGAATCGATAGTTCTGCTGACGTAAATACTAGCTTAATTATCTGCTCACAGCTTTTTTACATTGTGCATCATTTGTATCCTATATTTTTTACAATTTAGGTGACTCGGATAATTGCAGAAGCAGGTCAAGACTTCAACAATATGCGATACGAGAAGGATTAAGTCCAGCTGTACGTCTTAAAAATCATAACAACGCTGCGTTGTAGGTAGTAATTTCTCTTTGTATATTGTTCATAGTCTGTCTATTTACTTGGGATTATAAAGTATTTACTAGAATGCTTCAAACGTTTTTTTTTTCCTCATTCTATTTTACTATTATCTGACTTTTCCTATGAATGAGGGGCTCAGAGCTTCATTAAAACGCAGAATGTACCAGTATGTAATGTCATAATGGAGATAGCTTTGTTAATTTACTTCAAGTAAAGCCAGTGTAATAACGGTTTGATTATCCAGCTCCTTATCAAGCACTATTTTGAGTCGTTTTTGTGGCTGTAATGGAGAAAAGAAGGGTTGAGAAAATCTAGAACAAAGGAATTCGTGCCAAGTATTTGACAAAATATTGTAATGTGTAATATTTTTTTATTTTATAGTATAGCTTATATCAGGAGCATTCATTAAAAAACTGTAGGAATGTTAGGTATTTAATTTTTGTGTGCTAATGAAAATTTCCATCAGTAGTGAAAAGTATCTAATAAATACTAATCTTGGTTCCTTGGTATATTTTGTTTTATGTAGATTTTTTTTTGATAAGGATTTTATGCACTTTGTATGATACAGAAAAAAGCTATGATAACATGCGAAGAAATAAAAAATAGCAACAGTTTATTTTTTCCCTTTATTTCTCCATATTCTCGCCATCTTTCATCTTCACAAAAATTTGCTAATGTGGACTCCTTACAGACTGTTTACTCCTTTTCTTTTAAGTCCTCAGACTTTCCTGAGTTCCTTCTAAACCGTCCGCATTTTTATGTGTTGAAATTTGTGCAGATGGAAGTGAATTGCTCATTTGAGTTTCTTCGCAGCTATCAATTTCGGAAAAATGTGGTATTTTGTCATTCAGATCCTTCTTGTGGCTTTTCATGATTTCCGGTACTGTTGTTCGTTGCATTTGTTGAGTTTTTAGTTTTTCTTCACTACTCTTTGACAACTCTAATGGCTTTTCCATCTGAACTTGAACTTGCGTGCTTTTAATTTTCAAAGCATTTTTTGTCTTCTCCAAAGATTTTTCCGGCTGATATTGTGAACATTCTGTGCTTTTCTTAGATATTTGCGATTTTTTGGCAGATTTTTCAATTCGATCTTGTGCAATCTCTTTAACTCTTTGAGAATTTTGTGTTTTTCCCGCATATTTTTTTAGTTCCTCCTGCAAACTTCCTCCAATTTCTTTAGATTGTTTTGCTTTATTCGCAGATATTTTGAATTGATTTAGCAAACTTATTTTAGATTTTTTGGGACTTTGTACTATGTGTTTTAATTGAACCTGGAAACTTGTACCATTTTTTTCAAAACTTGGTACCTTTCCCGTAGATTTTTTCTGATTTTGCGAGTCCTTCTTAGCCATCTTAAAACTTGTTACTTTTGCCGCAGATTTCTGAACTCCAATTTCCGAATCCTCTTCAGCTGTTCTAAGACCAGGTACTTTTTCTCTAGCTTTTTTCGTTTGAATCAGAAAATTTTTTGGACTGCACACTTTTTCGATATTGTGTACCTTTTTTAACCTCTTGAACGCGACTTGCAAATTTCGCCCTTCTCTTAAAGAATTAGCTTTTTTATGAGGCTTTTTTGTAAAATCTTGACTTCGCTCTAATCTTACATATGGATCACGTTTTTGTGGAAGATTTTTATGCTGTACTTGCAAACTTTGCGCTTTTCTTATTTGTATGGGAATTTTCTCTACATTTTGTGATTGACTGGAACTTTCAGCTAGTTGCACATACTGTTTTGACGGGGCTTGCTGATTTTTTTGGGTTTCTTCTTGAATATGCGTTTCGTGAGAACTAAACGTTATTTTAGCAGATGTTTTATGATTAGCTTGCTGACTTTTTGGTGATCCCGTAGAACTACTTGCATTTTTTTTATGTCCTCTCGAGAAATTCCGTCGACTCTTCCGTATTCTTTGTCTGTTATGTGCTACTTCCGATGGAGATTTTACTGAACTTTGCTTACTATTTTGTCTCTCTTGGAAGTCATCCACTGCAACAGAGCAAATGTGTTTTTCGCTTGTTTGCTCTACTGTTGCAGCACGTAACATCTCATGTCGATTTTTTGTTAAGTTCCGCAAACTTCTCAGTTTTTTCTTCTTCTGACTTTCCATTTCAAGAGAGTCTTTTGAGTAAATCTGCTTCTGTTGTTGATTTTCATTATCTGTTTTTGGTATTTTTGTAGGTTTTTTCACATAAGTCATTTCATAGCATTTCGTGCTATCTTGAAATGGCCTTAATTCAGTTGTTTGACATTTACTTTTTCCTTTGCGTTTTTTTGAAATCTGTCTTTTCTTCACTTTCATTAAGCTGCTCCTTGGGATGTTCTCTGAATGTAAGCCATTACCTTCCCACGTTTTGTTTTCACTTTCACTTGCTCGTTCTTCTTCAAAAACAGACTTTGTGTTCTCTGTTCTAATATCTCTGTTGGACTTCTTGCGTTCTTCTTTGGTTCCTTTTCTTGCTTGATCAAAAGCCTGATTATTCGAACTTCTATATACTCTTTAGAGTAAAATTATCATAAAAATTCTTGTTTTTTGGGTTTTTTCAAATTCTGTTTTATGCTACTCTAAGAACTCTCAGTTATTGAACTGAACTGTCTCAATTTATTAGCCATATGTATTTTCATGCTAAACATGTTTCTAATGATGTTCAATGAAAAGAGATAAGATCTGCTCCTTAAATGTTTTTCGTTCAAATCTTCATTTCTGTTGAAAAAAAAATTCCATCCTTTTAGAAGAATACTCACTCTCCTAGAACCACTTTTCGAATATTTGGTACGTAAAATCTTTTTCATTTCTTCTTCGATATGTCCCAAAATATTTTGACTTAATACTTCAGCTCTGAAAAAAAATTTAGTCAGTGCAAACGGCCAAATTTGCAAAAAAAAGATTCTTCAAATTATTTCCGGCATAATTTTCAAGAAATGTAATAAGCAGTTAGCATATTTAATAAATGATAATGCCGAAAATTGATGTCTTCATGGAAATTTTAGTTTTTCATATTCGTATGCAGTTATTTTACACAGATCCTGAGTCTATTGTACATCTAACATAATTTCTGAAATTTTTAGTATTCTCCATGTCATAAATACTGTAAGTGAATAAAATAATAGAAAAATTTTGATCCAAGCAATGTTTTATTGCTGCATTCAGTATGATACCATGGAGCAAACAATTTCAGCTTTGATACTACAAAGATAAGTATTAGATTTCTATGAGTAGCTAATTTTTAATGTTATTTGCAAAAGTTTTATGATTATAGTGCCTTTTGCATCTAAACCATAACATACTGTCTTTCCCTCCGTTTTCGCTCTGCTAGCTCATTTCTTGCTCTGCTTCCAACCTTCGGACCGAATGCAACATTACTGGGAAGGTGTGTTCGATTCTCCTATTGATGTAATGATTTCAAACGCAAAAAGTACGGATATTAAAAATCTTTATAGTTTTTCAACAAAACTGCCATTTCTCATCTTGTAAACATTGATGGTGCATGCACTAACATTGCTCGCGGCAACTGGACTTCGTGAATTTGTGGATTTTGATGACAACATTTCTTTTTCATTCTCATTTCTAGCTTCCTGTAATTCCGCATCTTTTTCGCTCAATATTTTTACATTTTTCAACTTGGCTATTGTCATATGGTTCAGCTCTGGAGACACATAGATGATTCGAAGAATTGCAAGCTTTTTCATTATATACTGGAAATCGCAACGTTTCTCAACATCCATTGTCCAACACTCGTTGACTAAATCCATTATTTCCAAAGGAGTTGCTTCTGAATAAGAAGCACATTTTTCATCAGAACAAAGGTATGCTTGAAAATAATTACAGTAGTAAGCTTATGATAGAATGAGTAGAATAAGAAAGACGGAAGTGTAAGTGTATGCCATCCATCGTAAGTCGTTTAGATAGCCGTTGCACACGTACTAACACTAGCAAAAGTATTTATTTACATGAAGGGCACAACATAGTAATAATAAGTAGTACTAGAGGAGGATCCTATTACTGTTGATAGAGATTTATGCAGCTTCAACTGTTTCCGTCAACATTAAAAAAGGCAGAAAATAAAGAAAGCATCTTGCGGATATATTGAGGATCGTTGCAACACTGTACTGATGAAAGTAAAATCTTTATTTACGTGGAATTTTCTGACGTAATGCCTTTATAAAGTTTCATAAAATCTTAACTTTGCTATATATTCAAGTGTTAATCCCAAATAATAAATTTTTTATGCATTTGAAGTTGAGCTCAGACACCAATATGCACTGAATAAAATATAATAATTGGACTTATGGAGAAGAATACAATCATTAGTAATTATTTTGCAACTTTCGTAAATCGAAAGCATATGTGAATAGATCTTTTTGAAGATGATTTTTCTAAAACAATTGTATACCAGGCATTTCAGGCATATTGCCTTGTCTAATATAAGTCGCACATCGTCTTGCATCCCAGTTAGGCCATGGTTTTATCCCATCATTGAAAATTTCATACATTAGTACACCAAATGACCACACATCACTTTTAGTTGAAAACTGCGGTAGTTTCTGAATTGTTTCTGGTGCCATCCAGCGTACAGGTACCTAAAAACTTTACTTGATTCATGTTTTACTTAGTAGAAGATGTATCTGACAAGAAAAATGTCAGTAGTAAAAGAAGAATACCATACTGTACTCTTCTGCAATAGACAAGAGACTGTTAATTGGAATTCAAGATGAGAACGCGTATTTAATATATATATATATATATACACATATAAGCATCTCTTGTTTGTGTAGCATTTGTGGAAGTTTGTCCCTATCCCATCCCAAGTCATCACATACGGATTTATTTTCGTCCTGCAATTCATCTCTGCCTCGAGTTTATTTG